AAATAGCTTCCGCCTGCTGGGTAAAATGAGTATCTTGACCTGCTCGTTAAAATATGTAAGTCGTCCTCGAAGTGATCGTAGTCTGTTTGTCCTAGTTCTACAGGCGTGCTATTAGGAGCAAACCGAATGCCATTTCTAACAATTTGTTTATAGCTTATATACAGCTAATGAACAGGGAGAGTACACGGGAGTGTGGTATGAATAGGCTCACTGTGCAGCAAGTTAGGTATTTTCAATATAGCAAAATGTTCCATTGGCTCTGCTGTATATCATAAGATAGAGTTTCATGATCAGTAATAGGTCGGGTTTCGGGCAAGGGTTCTAAACTGTTTTAGGGGTTTAGCTTTGGCTCGTGTTACCGGCTGGGTTTGGATATAGGGTAAGGGAAAGGTCTCCTATTCTCACAGTGGCCGGGGTGTTCCCATTCCCGTGTCCTGTTTTGGGTGACCACGCGAACCGCCCTTATCTAGATTTCTGTCTGAGGATTGACAGTACGTTCTCTTGGAAAATTGTGAACACTGTATAAAACTGACGGCGCGATTCTACCGTCCTAGCAGCATTGTTTAAACTGTATGGGCAGTATACGCTAGAGTTTGGCTCGCTCCAGCTGATGCTAAAATCCTGGGAGGCAAGCTTAAATGTTGCAGTTGTTCTGTTGGAGTGTCCAACATAAATTTTGCCGAGATGACCAAAATGGACCTTTACCTCAAGATGGCGCTTTTTGTGACAGCAGCATGAAAGTACCCGTGGGAGACACGGAACTTATGCAAGTAGGGAGCAATGCCAGTTATCTGTATGATCTTGTTTGGGAAGGATCGAAGATGTGATTTTAGATTTTTGCAAAGGTGTGGTCATGGCTTCGCTTACTACGTAAATCACAACTCTACACTGGTGGTCACTCTCGCATGCAGCCCGTTAATAGGGCGTAACTCAAAGACCCCTTTTGCCGGTACACCAAATGTCCTCGTAAAGCCAGCTGGAGCTTCAAGTATGTCGGAGGTTACCCTGTACGTATCAGACGTAAACAAAGGACGCGATGAACATCAACTTGATGGCCCCGCTGTACCGTAATTTCTTGATTGCAGTCAAGCCTATAATAACTGAATTGGTTTCCTGAGAATCCTTGATTACTATTTGCTTTATTCCGAACCAAGGGTCCCAATATGTTTCCACGTGTACTGGGGCACGATGAGCAAAGGGGCCTTGCCTGGTCTTCGCCCGTTAAACTACACTCATCAGGCCGTTATCTTACGAGTGTTTGAGATATTCTTAAATAACGCCTAAATTTTACCGCAACATGAGCCCTGTTGCTGCAGAACAACGACTATCATTGAATGATTCGGACGAAGGTGAGCGGTGCTTCAGGAGCTTGCCAGATGGATGAAAATCGCCATGCCATTATGG